GGCTGGGTGTAGTGGCTCATGCCTGTAATCCCAGCACTTTGGGAGGCTGAGGGGGGAGGATTGCTTGAGCCCAGGAGTTCAAGACCAGCCTGAGAAACATAGGGAGACATCATCTGTACAAAAATTTTAAAAATTAAGTGGGTGTGGTGGTACACAAATGTGGTCCCAGCTACTTGGGAGACTGAGGTGAGGGGATCAACTGAGCCAGGGAGGTTGTGGCTGCAGTGAGTTATGATCACACCACTGCACTCCAGCCTGGGTGATAGAATGAGACCCTATCTCAACAAATATAAATAAATAAATAAAACATTATAAAAATGAAACTGTTTACAAGTCTGGTAGCCAATGTAAAGATTGTTATTATAGCTGTGTGTGGTGGCTCATGCCTGTAATCCCAGCACTTTGGGAGGCTGAGCCGGGCGGATCACCTGAGGTCGGGAGTTCAAGACCAGCCAGACCAGCATGAGGAAACCCCATCTCTACTAAAAATACAAAATTAGCCAGGTGTGGTGACACATGCCTGTAACCCCAGCTACTCAGGAGGCTGAGGCAGGAGAATCACTTGAACCCAGGAGGTAGAGGTTTCGATTAGCTGAGATCTTGCCATTGTATTCCAACCCGGGCAACAAGAGCGAAATTCAGTCTCAAAAAGCCGGGCGCGGTGGCACGTGCCTGTAGTCCCAGCTATTCGGGAGATTGAGGTTGGAGGATCTGTTGAGTCCAGGAGTTTTGGGCTGTAGTATGCTATGCCGATCGGGTGTCCTCACTAAGTTCGGCATCAATATGGTGACCTCCCAGGAGCGGGGGGCCACCAGGTTGCCTAAGGAGGGGTGAACCAGCCCAGCCAGGCCAGAAACGCGGAAAGGAGCAGGTCAAAACTCCCGTGCTGATCAGTAGTGGGATTGCGCCTGTGAATAGCCACTGCACTCCAGCCTGGGCAACATAGCGAGGCCCCGTCTCTTTAAAAAAAAAAAAAAAAGAATTGTCATTAGGCATTACACTCATTACATCTAGTCCTACATATGGGGGCTTTAAAGAACACTATGGGGCCAGACGCGGTAGCTCATGCCTGTAATCCCAGCACTTTGGGAGGCTGAGGTGGATGAATCTCCTGAGGCCAGGAGTTCGAAACCAGCTTGAATAACATGGTGAAACCCCATCTCTACTAAAAATACAAAAAATTAGCTGGGCCTGGTGGTAGGCACCTGTAATTCCAGCTATTTGGGAGGCTGAGGCAGGAGAATCACTTGAATCTGGGAGGCAGAGGTTGCAGTGAGCTGAGCCAAGATCGTGCCATTGCACTCAGCCTGGGCAAAAGGAGTGAAATTCCATCTCAAAAACAAAACAAAACAAAAACTTTGTGAACTGTGTAATATACCAAAATATTTCTCATCTATTATGCAACTGTCAGAATACCATGCTAATTCTGGAGCGCCCCCAGAACTGTGAAGTGAAACACAGACACCATGATGCTCAGTGCTACCACGTCCTTTATACTATCTGAATCGACGAACTTGACAAGTAGAATAAGCTCTCTTTCTTGGCTGGGAAGCCCTTCCACAGTCCAAATTCTCCTAGTACTCCAAAGCAGTATCTACCTCCAAGGTCAGTGGCAGCACGGCCCACCAACCTTCATGCAATTCAGATTTAGAGACCTTTAGTTTTGAGGACACAGAGCAAGAGAAAGGGAAAAGCATTCTCTGTGGCCTGTGGATGGTTTTAGTTACAAAAGTGGTAAAGTCTTCTCCTTTTTTTTTTTTTTTGAGACAGAGTCTCGCTCTGTCTCCCAGGCTGGAGTGCAATGGCTGAATCTTGGCTCACTGCAACCTCCACCCCCCGGGCTCAAGTGACTCTCCTGGCTCAGCCTCCTGAGTAGCTGAGATTACAGGTGCCTGGCACTGCGCCTGGCTAATTTATATATTTTTTAGTAGAGGCAGGGTTTCTCCATCCTGGCTAGGCTGGTCTCGAACTCCTGACCTCAGGTAATCCACCCACCTCGGCCTCCCAAAGTGCTGGGATTACAGGTATGAGCTACCACACCTGGCCAGGTATTCTTATTTTAAATGTATGTACAACAAAATCAACTCTTTTTGGTAAGCAGTTTTACTGACAAATGCATCTAGTTCTATAACCACCAACATGAGCAAGATTACAGAAAGTTCCAGCAAAGCCGGATTTTTTTTTTTTTTTTTTTTTTGTAGGGACAAGTCTTGCTATATTTACCAGCATTGGGTATTGGCAGTTTCCTGTTCGTTTGTTTGTTTGTTTTTGGCCACTCTGATAGGTAGGTAGCAGTATCTCAGTGTGTTTATGTTTGTAACCTGTGGGTCCTCTAAAAAAACACAAGGACAGGGTCTCTTATTTCCAGGGTCTAATGATGGTTCTATTCAGAAGAGTTAAAAAGTTCCCCTCTTGACCTGGCTTGGTGGCTCATGCCTATAATCCCAGCACTTTGGGAGGCCAAGGTGGGTGGGTCACCTGAGGTCAGGGTTTGAGACCAGCCTGGCCAACATGGTGAAACCCTACCTCTACTAAACATACAAAAATTAGCCGGTCATGATGGCACACACCGGTAATCCCAGCTACTTGGGTGGCCGAGGTGGGAGGATGGCTTGAATCCAGGAGGTCGGAGACTGCAGTGAGCTGAGACCGCGCCACTATACTTACTACACTGCAGCCTGGGTGACCAGGACTCTGTCTCAAAAAAGAAATATTCCCCTCTTGAATAGGTGTCTTCTCCAGGACAATGCTTGGGTGGGCTTGTTGAATGAGAATCGGGGGCACCCTAGGCTTAGCCTGCCTTGGAGACTGAGGCTAAGAGGGAGCTGGAGCTGAGCTGCTCTGCATGGTAATAGGAGGACTCTCTAGCCTGTTGAGGCACTCAGCTCTAGACGGGAGGCGAGAGATGACAACTGAAGAAAAAGGAGGGCTGTGACAATTGCACGTACAGAGAGGAGCCTCCTGAACACGGCAGTACACAGACAGGCCTTGGAGATGGAGCCCAGCCAATAGTTTTCAAAGAATGGGGAGGTTGAACATTGAATGTGGAGTTGTCTCCTTCTCTGTGCAGTCCCTCTGCCCCACACAAAGCCTTGGGCAAGTGATGGAGGAGTAATAGAAGATGGTGGTGTCAAGCTTGGAATGAAGTTGCAGGACTCAGAGGCCACAGTAGAATTGACCTTGGAGAAATAAGAGCCATCCTACTATTGCTTTCCCAGGGGGAAAACAGTCCTCTGAGATGCTGGAAAGGGCTTTAGACTTCCTGCAGCATATGGGCCTCCGTTTCTCTTGCTTTGCTTGTTTTTTTTTTTTTTAATATGAAGGAAGAGAGAAGTGCAGACTTACAGCTATTGGATCTGGCCTCTGGGTGGGTAGGGAGGCCTCTCCCCTGGGCTCCAGCTGGATTCAACCTCCATGCATATTCAGGTATCCACAGGGGACTAAGAGCCTCTGGTTCTCTATCCTTGTCACCCTCTTTTTGGCCTATTTTGATTAGTGAAGGATTGGAGGAGAGGTCATCAGTCTTCTGGTCAACCACATTTAGGTTCTACTCTACTGGAGGTGATAATCCAACAGCCCACCAAATTCTCCTCTTGGCTTTGTGTAAATTAAGTCATTGAACGTTTCCTGGATGGTGTGAAATATTCTCTCTCTCAATTATCTAGCTTGCTCAGATGCTTTAAATATTTGATTTTTGCTCCCTGCTGAACCTACATCTTCAGAGCTCCCTCTTGCTTCCTCAGCCCTTGACTGGGGCTGGGGCTGCCCCCTAGGCTCCCAGCTAAGAAGAAACCCTTCTGTCTCTTTGTCAATTCCAGTATCTCTGACTCCCATAGTTCTTGGGGTAAGTGCAGAGGGCCTTTCGACCTTGCTGTTTTGACTCCAGCACTTGACAGCAGAGATATTTGGACTCTGACATTCTGTCTTCATTGTATACTCAGATTCTGTGTATTTGCCTTGGGAATTTTCTTCACACCAAGAAATCAATAAGAGCTAAGTCACTTAGTAGTTTTGCAATGAATAGTACTAGTAGAAATAATCATAATCACTAGAAATAAAACTGGCAGTAGTTAATGTATCAAATTGTGAGGAAGATCTTTGGTTTGCTGAATAAAGTTGCAGAGGACAACATAATGACCCCAAGGCAAGAAGATTGTGTTAAGTGAAGGATGTGGGAGCCTGGTGCCTCCTTCCCTACTTTTCCCAGTCCTTCACACACTAAAGCATGCCCCAAAGAGGGTGACAAGGATGGATGTGAATGGAGAACCACATCATTCATTATAAGGACCTGTAGCAAGCCCTGGAAAGATTTTACTAGAAAATTAGAGGAGACTGGGTAGGATTTTGCCCATCTGTATTAAAAAGGGGTAGCTACATTGGTAGGGCTTGGTGGGGGGATCCAAGAGCAAAGAATACTAGAGCCATTGAGGAGGGAGGTTGACAGAAGAAAGGGCCAAGAAGAGAGACCTTGGGATGACTGTTAATGATGGGTAACCTTAAATATTCTTTTTTTTTTTTTTGAGGCAGAATCTTGCTTTGTCACCCAGGCTGGAGTGCAGTGGGACAATCTTGGCTCACTGCAGACTGTTAAATATTTTAATACCACTCCACTCTTGATCTCATTTAGTCCTTGTAGCAACATAGGAGGAGGATATTATGATCATTATCCTCACCGAAGCCCAGCATGGTTGTGTGTGTGCTAGGGTCTCACTGGAAGCCATATAGCACAAACCCTCCCAAGCTGAGAGTCTTTCTCAGAGTTTCATGGATCACCCTGTGTGATGTGGCATCCATTCCATTGGGCTCTCAGAAATGGCTCCACAAAGTCTCGGAAAAGGCTGGAATAGAGAGCTCTTCCCATGCTGGGCACCCTGGCCCTCCCATGAGCTCTGTGCTAGTGGGCAAACCTCCCCTGTTCTAGCTGTTCTGGAACAGGGCTCAGGGCAGGGCCTGCAGACACCTGGCCTCATCCATCCCGGGAAAACAAAGCTGGAAAATTCCTGTCTGTCCCTGCCCTGGCGGCCACATGTCCTGCCTCTGTGGCTGGGCTGGGGACAAGCATATGGGCTCCAGGTACAGGGCTGCCTAAGTCAAGGGTTTCAGGTCTCACTGGTGAATCATTTTGCAAGCAGATGTCATAGGTCTCCTCATAGACTGGACAGCACACAAGGTCAGCGTCAGCAGATCTGACCCTAAAAATAGGCCGTCTGTTGCCAGTCAGGGTGGTTGGGTGTGCAGCCGCCACATGCCCCACGGACCAGCACCTCCTGAGCCAGCCAGGCCCCGGCACACCCAGGTAAGGCCCTGGGGTGGGGAGACCGGCACCCCTTGGGTTCAGCCACGTATTCTTTGGGGGCCTGGGTGTGGGGATTAGAAGCCCCTTTTCCATCCTGTTCCTGGAGCTGTGGGGAACAGCTGACATCCTTGTAGTGTGAAAACCTTCTTGCTGTCCTTTTTCTAGAGACGCCATGGAATTTTCTCCATGTCCCCTCTCCAAATCTGAACTTCCAGTTCAATGACCATTTCTAAAGGATAATGGGACAGATTAAAGCTTATCAGGCCCTCGAGAAGCATTGGATGCATTGTATCATATTTCCCATTCTGAGGAGGTTCCACATTTGTCCATTTAGCCAGTAAAGAGGGAGAAATCTCTGGGGCAGGAGGGAGAGAGGCTCTGGAGTGGCTTGGGTCCTGTGTAGGGCAGCACCAACGACAAGAAAGTACTTAAAGCTCCAGGGATGAGAATTCTCCCTGTGTCCTGGGTAACTTGAAAGCATCATTTGGACAGAGTGACTGGTTTGGAAGTATTTCCTAGTCCTGGTGGGAGGATGGGGCTGCGGATGACGCTGCCGTGGTGGAGATACGGGGGCTCGGTCGTGAAGGATCAGAGTCCTTCACGGACCAAGAGTGTAGGCGGCGCCGTGTCAGGGCAGAAAGCTGATGGAACTGCGTTTCAGACCAGGTCTCTCCCACTAGACCCTGGTGCCCTTGTGCTGTGGCCCCAGGGGTCCCTTCATGGGCCTAGAATCCAAGAACTGTTGGGCCTGGGGGCTCTGATTGTTCAGGAAAGTGGAAAATGCTCCAGGGAGCGTGAGGAGAGGGCCACGAGAAGCTTGTCTGGAGAGGTTGCCACACTCACGGCCGCCAGCACCTGGGGTCCCTGGCACTGGGTGTTTCTTCTGCTGCCCCCACCTGTAGCTTGTGGTCCCTCCTTGTTCTTGCATGAGAAAATCGTTTGGTCCCAAGGACAAATCCAAGGACCATTAACAACGCTTGAAGGGCTTGAGCTGAGTTCTTAACAAGGAACGAGCGTTGGGCATGGAGGCTGCGGTGGACGTGGGGTGGGTCTGAGGAGACTTAGTGGGAGTGAAATGGGAAAGGTTCCCTTGTCCCCCTGGAAGTGCGTGTGATGGGCATGCAGCTCGCTTCTTCAGTGCCCAGCTGCTCAAACCTCTAGGGGAGCATACAAGCTGTGGGACTCCAACACCACGGCAGTGCCTAGGGGTGAATGTTTATAGCTAAAGCTCCAGTGGGTGTGCGTTACGGGGTGCTTTTTTAGCTTGCCCTCTGTGGGTGGCTTGTGTTAACCAGCTCAGTTAGATCCCCTTCCTTATCACAGGACAGCGGGATTTCTGTATGCCAGGGTTCTTGCCTTGGTGTACTGGAAGAATTGGCTTGGAGAATGACTGCAAGGTTTTATTGAGCAGAAGTAGATCTCAGCAGAAGTGGGGGGTCAGAACGGAGATGGTTTTCCCATGCAGTTGGGCCACTCAGTGGCTGACTCTTCTCTGAGCGCTCTGGTCAAACTGAGTTGTTCTGTTGCTGGTCGATGGCTGGTCGCCTGCCACTGCCTGTTGGGCGTGATCTTCTGCCGGCATGCTCTTGACAACACGCCGCTGGTGTCTTCTATGTGTTCCTCAGGACATCCAGCCTGTTCTGTGTCTCAGGGATTTATAGGCACAGGATGGGGGCGTGGCAGAACAGGGTGGGCTTGGGAAATGCAACATTTGGGTGCGAAGGCAGGAGTGCTGGTCTTCACCTAGGTCTGTGGGTTGGAGCCCTAGCCAGGGACCTGCCTTTCTCTACGCAGCACTCCCCGACACCCCTCCGGTATCAGGAGCTCACTTGGCTCTGAAGGATCTTCATGGGCAAAAGCAGACCTGTGCTGAGGGTGAGGAGACGGGCAGTGGTCCTCCACCATCAGACAAGCTGGAACCCCTACTGCGGACATTTCAGTTGTGGCCAAACCTGGTCCTTGGTTGGGTGGGAACCTGGGTTGGGTGGGAACCTGGTCCTGTCTGCAGGCGGCGCTTCCATGGCTGTTGTCAACCCCACAGCAGATAAGGGGCTGAGGGGAGGCTGAGGGGAGGCCCTGAAGGCCAGGGGCTGGGCTGTGAGCATTTTCCAGCAGCCCCAGGGAGGCCCAGATGAGTCCACCGGAGCAGGAATAAGCAGCCTTGAGGACAGGTGGTGTTTTCTGTGCTATGTGCCTGGCACTGTTCCAAGAGCTTTCCTGACAAGTAGGAATCATTTGTTCCTCATAACTGTGACAGCTCTATGAGGGATGGACAGCACAGCCCCCTTTCAGATCCGACACAGAGACACAGATACTAAATGTTCTGCCCAAGGTCATGCAGCCTAGCCAGGGGCAGAGGCCGGAGCCCACTGTGCCTCAGAGTCTGGGGTGTGGCCGCTTTGCCCTGGTGCCCCTCAGCGGGGTTGGGGCTGGGTGGCATCTCACCCTCTCCTGCTCTTCTCAGTCCCTAAATTCCAACCAGGGCCCCTCTCCCAGGGAGGCCCGGCCTGGAAACAGCCACTCCAGCCTCCCGGGCCAGGAGTCAGCTCTACTTGTCCTCTTTGGCCTGACTTCAAAGCAGATGATGTTTTCATTTCCTCTTCTGGTGGTCATCTGTGTTTCTGGGCCCACCCCTTCCACAGTAACGAGGAGGTCAGACCTCCTAGCAGCCTGGCCCAGAGACCAAAGACTGACTAGCTGGGGAGAGTCCTCTCTCCTGCTCTCTGGCATGTCATGGGGAGGCGATGGGCCTTGTCACCCACAGAACAATGCTTAGGCTCATGAGTGCCCAGCTTCTCCATCACAGCCTCCCTACCGAGACCTCTGACCCGGCCAACTGCTCTACTCACTCTTTCCTATTCTTGGCAGGGAACATAACTCCCAGGACAGCTGGGAATTCCCCCCCCCCCCTCCCGGCTGCCTCCTTGTCTCTGCTCCCTGAAACCCTCTTTGAGTCCATGTGGATGTGCCAAGGGCTTAGATGATATCATTTAATTTAGCCACCAAGAAGGTGAATGTTATCTCCATTTGACAGATGAGGAAGCCGAAGCCCAGGTAGTGAGACTCCAAGGCCTGTGAGAGCCATTTGCTACAACTTCCCATGACTGTGCTCCACTCTGGGGAGGGACGCATGCAGAAGTGAAAGGCCCAGGCATGCCCTCAGGAGCTTTGTGACCAAGAATGTAGTGAAGTATCTATTGCGGTGGGTTGGGATGTGGAGCTGTTGGGTTGAGTCCCATTTACACCCCTTACTAGCCTAGTGTGTTGTTTCTTAACCTCCCCAGCCCTCATTTTCTCATCTGTAAAGTGGAGACAGTTATTCCTACCTAGAAGGTTTTTTTTTTTTTTTTTTTTTTTTTTTTGAGACAGAGTCTTGCTCTGTCACCAAGGCTGGAGTGCAGTGGCATGATCTTGGCTCACTGCAACCTCCACCTCCCGGGTTCAAACGATTCTCCTGCCTCAGCCTCCTGAGTAGCTGCATCTACAGGTGCTTGCCACCACGCCCGGCTAATTTTTTTGTACTTTTAATAGAGACTGGTTTCACCATGTTAAGCCAGGATGGTCTTGATCTCCTGATCTCATGATCTGCCTTCCTGGGGCCTCCCAAAGTCCAAAGTGCTGGGATTAAAGGCATGAACCATCAAGCCTGGCCTCTTTTATTTTCCTGAGACGGAGTCTCGCTCTGTCGCCCAGGCTGGAGTGCAATGGCATGATCTTGACTCACTGCAACCTCCACCTCCCAGATTCAAGTGATTCTCCTGCCTCAGCCTCCTGAGTAGCTGGAATTACAGGCACATGCCACCACCACTGGCTAATTTTGTATTTTTATTGGAGGCGGGTCAAGCTGATCTCAAACTCCTGACCTTGTGATCTGCCCACCTTGACCTCCCAAAGTGTTGGGATTACAGGCATGAGCCACTGTGCCTGGCCTCTTTTTTCTTTCTTTTTTTTTTTTTTTTTGAGACAAGGTCTCACTGTTACCCAGGCTAGAGAGCAGCAGCATGATCTTGCCTCACTGCAACCTCTGCCTCCTGGGTTCAACTGATTCTCATACCTCAGCCTCCCTAGTAGCTGGGATTACAGGCATGCACCACTATGCCTGGCTCTTTTTTTTTTTTTTTTTGTATTTTTAGTAGAGACAGGGTTTCACCATGTTGGTCAGGCTGGTCTTGAACTCTGATCTCAAATGATACTCCTGTCTCGGCCTCCCACAGTGCTGGGATTACAGGCATGAACCATCATGCCTGGCCACTATCTAGAAGATATTGAGAGTAGATAATCACTGGCACACAATAAAAGTAACATAATCATTTCCCTGGGTCCAGCCAAGGCCTTGATTTCTCTGTGAGCTTTTGTGGGTGGCAGATTTAAGAGGTGGTAGCCATGGCTGGGCGAGGTGGCTCATGCTTGTAATCCCAGCACTTTGGGAGGCCAAGGCAGGTGGATTGCTTGAGCTCAGGAGTTTGAGACCAGCCTGGGAAACATGGAGAAAACCAGTCTCTACTAAAAATACAAAATTAGCCTGGCGTGGTGGCTCATGTATGTAATTCCAGCTTCTCGGGAGGCTGAGGCAGGAGGATCACATGAACCTGGGAGGTGAAGGTTGTGGTGAGCTAAGATCTCACCATTGCACTCCAGCCTGGGCAACTAGAGCGAAATTCCGTCTCAAAAAAAAAAAAAAAAAAAGAGGAGGCAGCCCTAGCCGCTCACCTTCCCAAGGCCCAGAGTAGCATCTGAGACGGGGCTAGTGATGAATAAGTGGCCTGGACAGGAAGTGGTGGAGCGGCAGGACCATGCTGAGGACTGCACCTCCTGAGTCTTGCCCGTCCCTGACCAAGGAAGGCTTGTTCTGAGGTGAGGCCAGTGGGAAATGGTTCCTGTGAACTGCCTGTGGTGTTTCCACACATCTTCAGAGGGAGTGAACGCCCAGCTGCTTAGGATTCAGGAACCACAGTGAGCCTGATCAGACGTCACAGTCTTGGCCTCCCACGCCAGAGCTC